GGGACATCTGTGATGGTGTCAATAATAAAAATAAAGTTAAAAAAAAAAAAGGAAAAAAAGACAAATGAGGCAATGATCTACAGTTCCTTTAGACGCTTTCAATTCTGATAGCTATGGATTTTCCACTAATACTGACTTTGAGAAAAAGATAATCTAAGGAAATAAAGCCTTAAACAAGCTAAACAGTACTTACTGCAAATAATTACTCATTCAAGGTTATTTTCTTAGGAAGATAAAAATGATTAAGGATCAGGCTGAAAATAGATTTTCAGCAAAGACAATAAAGTTTAATAAATTATCCTGTAAAGTCAGCTGAAAATCTGCCCTCTTACAAATGATGACCGATTGTGCATAGAATAGTTTGCTCCTCAGCTTAGTGGGTGCACAGTAAAGACTCAAACTCTGCACTGTCCCAGTAAAACATTCAGATTGACGCTCAGAGTTGAACACTTGCAGCCAGAATGCTGCTCTGAGGGCCTCTGCTCCCAAGTGAACTGTTTGCTCACAATCTCTGTTTCTTAATGTATTTTTTGCCCGGTGACCTCATTATTGTAATGATATATTTTAATGATTACATAAATGATGAATTATGAGTAAAGAAAAGAACTGCTGTCTTTACGAAAACTAAGTTGAATGCTCTAGGAAAATTAGTTAAAAGGAAATCACAAGATAAAAAACTGCCTGCAATTTAGGTATAGCTGAGCTTATTTTATGATTAGGGAATGAATAATAAAAATCTAGAAGAATCTACTTTAAAAGTACTTTTAAGGACTTGCTCCACTTTAAGAAACTAAAACCAGAAATTATGATGTGCAATGCATGTAGGTTCAAGGAAGAAAGAAGGCAAAGAACTCCAATTAGCAAACCCTACACATACTCAAAGACCTTAGCTTTTCATCAAAAGAATAGACATTTACATACCTTAAGTTAAATTGTTTAAAGTATTTTTTTTTTGTAATTCCCTACTTCGAGTTGCCTCTCAACTAACTGAGGGGAAACTCAATTAGGTCTAAATTGTGTCAGATAGGGCATCGGGACCATATCTGGTGGTAGCAAACCAAGGCAGAGCATGAAAATAAAGTGGAAAGATTTACATAAGAGTTTTTACAAAAAAATGTATATAACATATTTCTTAGTAGCAAAAGAGAGTAACCAGGGGCAGATTTATAATGAGAAATTATAAAAAGATTTATCAAGTGAGTGATTTTGGAGAAATGCTTGCCTACTGAATTGCATTTTTATTTTTCTGCTGGTTCAGAAAGTAAACTTTACCATAACTTTCAAGACACCCATCATGTTTCAAAATGTGTTTTTTAGTAATTTTTTTCCATAGCTTCTCTTTGAAGAAATCAGAGAAACATACACATTCTTTAGGTGAAAACAAGTATCAGTCTTAGTTATCTTTTCCCTCCCTCCCCCAAATTTCAATGTTCATGTTGAAATTATTTACAAAAGCTTAAACAAACAAGATTATACAACTCTGCCAAGCTTTAAGAGCAAACCAGTAAGGCTCTGAGGCCTACCACCAGTTTCTACTTTGAACCAATGTCTATATTTCAAAGAACAAATCTATATATTCACTGGGGTTTTTCTAGAAGATAGTAAGACATTTGGATGTTGATTTTTCCTTCTCCCACTTCTGAATTCTTCCAAATAATTCTTGCATTAGTCACCACTCTTGTTTTTTCCTACCTGTGTAGCCTTATATTCTTTATCTGTATGGAAAGGGTATTTGATGACTCTGCTAGAGTGAAGAGCTATAATATTCTAAATGAAATGAGTCATTTATGACAAATTAAAAATATGTGACAGAACTCAAGCTGCTACTCTTAAGTCAAAATTTTATTGCCCAGGGCAAAAGACCATCAAATGATTCACAGAGTAGATTAAACAGGAAATAACACACAGACAAGCGTACACCACCACCAACAAACTATCAAAACAGAACAAAATTAAGTTGATATTAAAATGTAACAATAGGAAATACTTAAAAGGTATTCTCATAAAAGACAATATTAGATTTACTATTATACTGTAGCTGTACTATTCAGAGTAGCTGGGAATTAGTGCTTGTGGAAATAATAAAAATGGAGTTATTTTTATTGTTTCTTTAATATAAATAATTTACAAGGAATCAAAACAGAGATATTAACCACAAAGCAAATGCATGTCTAAGAATCAATATCACTGCTCTGAATATCAAGAGGTAAAATATGTGAAAAAAATATTTTAAACTTTAGTTTATAAGAATGTTAATTTTTATTAAAACTAGCAGTAACACAAATAATATTGTAATTAATAGTATTAAAAGCAAGTATTTAAAGTTTCCAGTATAGATCTGGATTTGGTTACATTTAGAATTAACTTTGTTAATATAAAATGTTAAATGCTTAAAAATTAACAGGCCCATCTTTGCCCATGGTGGTGCCGCCATGCTCTCTGCCAGAAAAGGGGCAGCTCATTTCAAGTTGGTCCCTCTGTCCCCAGCCTTGTCCACCCCAGACACTCTCTCCTCTACAGTCAAAGGGAGTCACTCAATCGCTGCAAAATGCAGTGGTTCTGGGCTCCAAGCACAGGCGCAGCTTGAGATCAATCAATCTATGGATGAATGGGGACAATGACTATATCTGCCACATGGGGTCAATGTAGGGTTACGTCAAAATAGGGTGGAAAGGCCCTCAATGCAGTCCTTGGCCCTGAGTCCTTAATGTTTTCTCATCACTGCCTGGCTGAGAACCTCCCTGGCCCCATTGCCTACAGGACAGTTGAATCGGCTCTGGGCAAGTAGGGTCTAAGTGGCCCCTCATCTTGGCTTCAGAGCCATGGCTCATGCCCTAGAATCAAACTACTGGCCAATTTCAAGTTAGGCAATACATACTTTATATCTTCTCTTTGATAAATTTAGTTTTAAATTGATGTAATTTTGACACAATACAGTGACATAATACATATTATGTATTATATAATAACAAGTATAATACCATGTGTGCTCATAAACTATCATTTCAGAGGGAAAAAAATTTCATTTTAAAAGAACATGTTTTTGAGAACTTTGCTCCCTTATTATATAGTGAACCTTTTATTATGTGTCAGAGATAACTTTTTTCCCTCTATGGAAGTGCATCTCTAATTTTATCACAGGAATCAACATAAAATATTATTGCTTATATATATTTTCTCAGAAGCCAACTTTTTATCCTACAAAGTGACTTTCATGCTGATCCATTTTTGGAATTGCATTCTTCAATATGCTAGTTGAATTATTTTCACAATTATAAATAAAATGAAAAAAATTTGTAAAATAAGATGCAAAAGCAAACTTCGGTGTACTGTAACATTTAAATTGGATGACACGAAATGTTCTTTTTTTCTATCTTACATTAACCACTAAATTGAATGTTTCCTCAGGATAAAAGAAAATCTTTTAGGAATTCCATGTAATTTATGTACTGAAGGCATCATGGAGTCAACAAATACTTATTGAGTACCTATATACCAAGCCATTCATTGTTCTGTACATATAAAGTAGAAGCTATGACATGGGACATTGAAAAAAAAAAACACAAGAAATTAAAAAGGGAAAGTGAATGCAAAATTATAAAAGAAAACCAATCACAACAAATATAACAAGAAGTTAATTTTATTTTTATCATCATTAAATAACAAATCAAACTGAAGTGTGCAGATCCTGTTTTAACTTAGAATGTTCTGACCTTTGCTTTGCAGCAGAGTCTATTTAGTTAAACATGTTTATTTTATTCAAAGGTCTTCCTGGAGACATGAAAAACTGGTGATAGAATTTTGAAGTCTAAAAATCTATCATTTTTATTAATTGTAATGTGACTCGATTCCTCATGCAAATACTCTGCCAGTTAGAACTTAAATCATGTACTCATCTCACGCAGTTTAACTAACAATTTGCTACTCTTTATCATCGCCAAACTCCAAATAAAAAATGTGTATTCATTTTAGGAACATTTTGTTTCCTATTACTGTAATAGATTCTTCAAACAAACAAACACACAAACAAAAACATCTCATGAATTCTTTGCTGAAAATCTGGCACTAAAAATTAAAATACTCACACCCCAGTCAATTATTTTGTTGGTTTTTTTTGAGATGCTAAGAAAAAACATCTGAAACATGGAATCACAGAGGACTTAGACAGGCTAGCAGTGCAGCTGCTTTCCAGATGAGTTAAGCAACTTGCCAACACACAAAGCCAATTAGGAATAAAATCCTGGCCATGGGATTTGGAGGGTTCAGTGCTCTGGGTATATCACCTGAAACAAGGTTGTGCCGTTTTAAAGTACCACATATGCTTTCACAACAAGATACTTACTTCAGTACTATCCTGAATAGAAGAGCTGTTGTTATAATGCTAAAATTTGAGAAGATAACAGCCATGGCCTAGAAAGAAAGAAAAGATAGAGTTACAATCCAAATAAAGTACTGACCTTAGAAATCTCCCAGCTTGGTGGTTCACCTGACAAGAAAAGCTTTTTGGTCAAAAACCAGAGGGGTTATTAGGGCAGCTATTTCACTAGAGGATTAAATTCCATTTTTATTGCTTGTTAAATTTATGCAGATATGATCAAATTATTGTGCAGGCTTTCAAAATGTGTTGAAATTCAGCAAATGCCTGTGTAAATAATCTGTATGTGCAGATCTGGAAATACTTATAAACTCTAAAGGTTTAGGTCTGAAATAACAGTTACCAAGGTTCTAAGGCATACTTTTTCAAGCTTTCAAAGTGCTTTATAGATCCTTAATACTGTTTCTATGGGTGAGGAGAAGGCAGGTTCTTTTAGGCCCATTTATACATTAAGATAATTGAGATACAGGTTTTTAAGTATCCTTACTGTTGTAGGAACTGAATCAATTTTCCTGGTTGAACTGTAGTGACTCAATACCAGTGATTCACTACCAAACTCATATTTAACAGTCCTTTGGATTTATTCACATTGTTCTAAAAACTTAGAAATGTGTTGGCCAAATTTTATGAAGGTCTGTTTTTGTAAATTCAGTCATATTTCACATGTGAAACTGTGAATCTGAACATGTATACATTTTCACCTAGAAAGTATGGAATTTCATCATTGCCCCTCATAATTGGATCTAACAATATTAATCATTTTTAAAAACAAATCCTCCTTCCTGTCACTTTAAAATGACTGAACCCCAAAGAGTATCAATAATCTTATACAACCAGCACATATGGCTAATATGCAGCTGAATTAAAGAAATAAGAGTAAATCCAAAAATAATTTTCAAAAATTCCAAGGACACAACATTTTCTTTTGAATTTTTATGGGTACTATTTTCAGGTTTTCTCTGTCCTTCTCCATAGGTGAATGCTTGTGAACCACTAGTTAGAAGAGTAGAGGAGATGAGGAATGTGGGTGGTAGGGTGCAGAAGTGGTGGCTCTGACCAGTCACAGTAAGGGCAGTGTAAATGCACTAACCAAGCATCCTGGCTGGCTGATGGATTCTGAAAACTCTTTCTATGCAATAGTATAGAATAATCAAAACACCAGAGCTCTCTGCCCCCAAACTTCTACATATCTCTATTTAATTCTTTCCCATTAGACTTGGGCACAGCAATACACACAATAGGTCATGTGATTTATTTTGTAGTATTTGTGGTTGTACACAATCAGGAAGGAAGAGCAAAGCAGTAAGTTGGAAGAAAAGCAGAAATTGTAATCTTAGTTTGGTACTGAGGATGTAGGAATGGGATAATTTAGATCCTAATCTATTGGATACCAATAAAATACAACAAATATATACTTATTGAATGTGAATAATTATGTCACTGGGTACAAGAATTCTCAGATCTGAAAGAGTGGAAGCAAGAATTTAGGAGAGGACACATTTTAGATGAACGGGCACTTACTAATAACATGGGTCACAGAGATGAAAGGAACTTCAGGTGATCTCCCAGCACAGGCCCCTGCCTTTGATGTGGTGTGGTAATTCTTTTTTACAGAAGGGCAATTGACATAGTAGTTGGGGCTTGCCCAGTTACACAGCTTCTAAATTGTGGAAAGGAATCAAACTCCTGTTTTCTACTACAGTGCTCTGTTGGTCCCTCCTTTTCATCCTACTCGCAAACTAATTTGGCTATATTTAAGAGGCTATACTTATTTATGATAGAAATGCTTGAATTTATCCTTTAAAACTTGTAACACATTTTGGCAACAATGGCAACAGAAATCTTCATTTTATAAAACATTAGGGGAAAATACACACATGGCTCAAACTGAGTAATAGGTAAGAACAGAAGACCAAATTTTAATTCTGATTACTAATGGTTCTCTAAATTGGCCTGGAGAATGCCAAGAGAGATAAGAAATATTCCTAGTATTATCAGTTATAGGTAGTGTTTAGAGTTGAGAGGATATAATCTCTACCTTTAAAGTACTTACTGGTTAAATGACAGGACTAACAACAAGAAAATCGTACAAAAAGAATGCATATAAACTACATTAAAGCAGGTGTAAGAAAGAGCAGTGCACTGAGTGTATAATTTTCTGAGTTAAGTCTCCTTGGAGGACCTGGATGTTGAGATATTAGAGGCTGGTGATCATAGAATGCCTCAGAAAACAGGCAGATTGGTTAAGGTTACACAAAGAGAGATGGATCCAGATTCAGTGGCCAGGGAGCAACTCCCACAAAATATTCAGCACAGTTTAATACAGCAAACTTTTAAATGAGAGAATCTGGCAAGCAGATCGGTAAGTAAGTACTCAGATGATTCTGGTCAAGCCTCAGGAAGGCCAGGGAGGGCAATGAGAAACTAACAATGCCAAGGAAAATTTAAAAAATAAATTTAAAAAATTAGTCCTGAAATTCATTTCTCTGTTTTTCCCAAAGCTATTTTCTTTGTCATATTTACTTACGGGTTGAAGATAGGAAAGGACATAGAAGACAATCAAATTATCCAGGAAATAAAGAAAGGCTGGAACAGACCACTTCATGAAATTAAAGAATTCCCTCCAGGAAGCACATTTCAAGTTTCTACTTTGATGATTTTCTAAAGAAAGAAATACAGCAACAAATAAATGATCTTGGAGAGAATGCACATATTTTTATAGATAGTAAATTGTATTTGACGTTTGACACAATTCTTTAAAAAACATTTCATGAACTTGCTTTCATAAGTGACTATAAGCCTTAAGAAATCAAAGACAATGTGGAATTTCATTACGTATTGTCTTTCGGCACCCCACCACTGTGCCTCATCACTGACAATTAGCAACACTTTAGGATTACTGATTCTCCTAATTCCTGTTAACCTGACATAGAACTATCACTTAAGGCAATTGAGGATATACTTATGTTTCTCTTAGTTCTCTGAGAGCATAAAACCAAGTGAGAGATCAACAAATTAAAATAAGTAGGAAAAAAAAATCAAGTGTTCATGCTGGTATTCCCCAGCCCACTCCCTGGGAGTGAGGGATCAGGAAAGGGAGATACTAGGTGAAAATTTATATCTAGGGAAGTAGAGAAAATTAACTTTTTAACTTTTACTAATCCTAGTATGAGCTACTGTCCCATTTCCAGATTTTCAAAAACTAAGGAAGGTACTATAACAGAGAGAATGTAAAATAAAATGAAAAGATAGAAAATTTAAGTTTAAGCCCTGTGAATAATGCATGAATTTCAAGAGATTAAGAAATGTATTTCACTAACTGGAAACTTTGCACAGATTGAAACCCTTGAGTGTGACAAGACACCTTCTTGTACAAGCCCTTGAATAAATTCTGTTTACCTCTTTTGGGAAGGCAGATCAAAGTAGTAGAGAGAAAAGGCTCAATAATTGGGAAATGTACAAGAAGAATTAATACGTATTAAGAGCCACAAAAGGCTAGATACTTCAGATTTGAGGAAGGATTAACAGCCTTATTTGATAGATGATGAAACCAGAGCTCAGAAAAATTAAAGTAATCTGCTCCAAAATACAGTTTCCCTGACTCCAATTTGCTCTACTGCCTCCAGTGAAGGAATCAGTGACTGCTTTGCAAATGTGCTACATACTAAGTCAGATAGGAGTAATTTAAAAAATCTTGAACTTGAGTAATAACTAACTCAATGTATGACCCATTACAAGAACAAGCTACAAGGTGGAGCAATGGACAGGACACTAGAAAACATGGGTTGGAGTCCCGGCTTTGCCCTCTGCTACCCAGAACTGCATAAGACTTTCTCTTTGAGCCCATTTCTCTACCTGCAAAATATGGATAATCATACTTATGCTTGTATTTTAGCATCCTCATATATAAAATTAATGGGCTAAATGCTATAAAATGTTCCAGCCAGTTCTAAAATTTTTTGCTTTTGTGATTTTCAATACATATATAGCAATGTTTCAAGACTTACCTTTTTTTATAACCCAGAATGATACAAGCACACAGAACACCAGCTTCACTAGTTCTGAGCACACATTCACAGTAGTTGGAAGATAATCATATTTGTTCTCTGAAATGTAACAGAAATTTTTTTAATTGTTCCATACAATGCTTACATAACTGTATAATAATTTAGTTAATAATTTAGAGTTGTTTTTAAACTTAAAAGCTGGATTTTAATACTGTTTATATTAAACATCCAATTGCTTTGCTTTTTTGGATTTTTAAATCAATTCACCTACTGTTTTATCTGTCCCTACCCTACTCAGCATTTTATTATCCTTGAATTTGATATATATGCCTCTCATGTTTTTATCCAAGTTGCTGATAAATATGTTGAGGAGGCTAGGGCTATGGGCAATAAAAGCTTTGTGGAATGGCATTAGAGACTGCCTTCTAAATTGACCATTAATCAATATTCAGGGCCTGACTCCTCAAACAGCTATGAATTTATCTGGCTGAATTATTATCCAGCTCATGGTGCCTCTTGTGGGACTTGTTAGCCTTGTACCCAGCTCAAGGTATACTCTGTGATATTGCCTTAACCAAGAGTTTTCCTTTCTGTTTTAAATCATGGCACACATAGACAGTATTTGTTTGGCACTCTGGAACAAATGGTACATTGGGGTAAAAGAAGGAAGCTATTTGAGGCAAGAGTCAACTGGTACAGGGTGCTGGCTACTCTGCTGAAAGAAAATACTCTGACACATCCAAGAACCCATTGAGGCACTGAATTTACAAGTCAATCTAATTAGGAAATGAAGTTTAGTTAACACATGCCTTGGTCTTAGCTGTTACCTATGTCTTTTCCAAATGCTTACAAACAATTTGCTCTATAATTTTGCCAAACGACAAACAGATTAGGTTCTATTTTCAGGAATGCATTTTTCCCCCTTTTGAAAACATCTTCTTGTTTCCCTTGGTCATCATATTAAAAACCCAAACTGCCAAGTACAGAAGAAAAACACCAACTTGACATTCTTTTTCCCCCAAACACCCTGTCTTCCTCTTTTCTGTGGTTTCCCTTGACTTTCTCAACATAAGCACAATTCTTTATTCATCTCTGATCCTGTAGCACCACCTATAAACCTCTTTAACAGTACTTATCACATTGTATTAAAGTTATTTTTTATACATGTATCTTATCTTTAGAATATAAGCTCCTTATGAGAAAAGGACCATGTTAGTCATCTTCATATACCTGGTAGTTTATGGTGTTTTGCACTTAGTAGGCACTTAATAAATGTTAACTTGAATTTCATTATTTGCCTGTTAAATTTTTACATAATTCAAAGCCTAGTTAAAAGATTTCCTCCTCCCTTTTCTGAGCTCTAAGCTAGAGTGAAATCACACTCTATTTTCCTCCAATAACACTTGCATTGATCTCTATAATGATATACACCAGCAAACATGCACACATAAGAATGGGGTGGAGGTACAGGCTTTGGAACACAACTCTTAAACTCTTGTCACTGCTCTTCCATTTTTTTTTAAATTTTTTTTTTAATATATCTTTATTGATTTCAGAGAGAGGAAAGGAGAGGGAGAGAGAGAGAAACATCAATGATGAGAGAGTCACTGATCAGTTGCCTCCTGCACGCCCCCAGCTGGGGATCGAGCCCACAACCTGGGCATGTGCCCCGACCGGGAATTGAACCCCAATCGCCTGAATCTTAGGTCGACGCTCAACTGCTGAGCCATGCCTGGCTGGGCTCTTCAATTCATTCTTGTTTCTATTTTCTTGTAGTTTTCTCATGGTGGATTCCAAACTGTGTCTCGGCATCATGTGGGACCTCCCTCCACTTACCTTTTGCCCACACTCACATACTTTATCTACATTACATCCATCCTCACTGGTTTCCCTTTAGTCCCCCCAAGAACGGGCCATAGCCCCACTATTAACCCATTCTTCCCTTTAAAATCTTCCCTTATCTTCAGGGACTTTGCTCCAATAAGTAATTCCTCTGGCTTCAGTTATCTTCTATCTTTCTATTAACTGGTCTCCTCCCCTTGGCCTATAAATATGTTCAAAGGTCTCTCCTCCAAAAAACAAAACACTGTATAAGCTCCTACCCCTCTAACTACCATACTTTCTCCTTCTCTCCCTAAAACCATGTCAACATTCATTATCTCCATTTTGCTCACTTCCAATTGGGTCTTGTCCCCAAGCAATCTTATTTCTGATCTCACCACTGCACTCAACCTACCTACTTTTGAGATTACTAAATATCTTCTAATTACTAATTCCAAAGGGCACGTTTCAATCTTTATCTTATTATGATGTTGCAATTCCCTGCCTTCAAACTTGTTCCTTTCCATCTATGAGTCATGTGCATTTAGTTCTCGCTAACAATTCCTTCTTAACATCCTTCTGAGTGTCAGCATGCTGGTTAAATGTTGGCATTCCTCAGGGTTCTGTCCTTGGCTCTATTTTCTCATTTTGCATGCTTACCCTTAATGAGCCCTCTGCTTCTAGGGTTTTAAATATAATAGTAATGTCTCCAAAGCTGTATTCTGGAACATTTAATGCTCACTAAACATATGCATATGAATAACTACTTTGTATTTATTCATTAATTGGTATTTCCTTCACATGTGTGATGTGCTAGACACTACAGGATATTGCAATGAACAAGTACACAGTTACCAACCTCAAGGAAGGTACATAGCTAAAACTCTGTAATCTCTCTGAACTCTGTCCAACCTGTTCTTCCTCCTAAGAGTCTTCACCTCAACTGAGAACACCACTGATCCACTTAGCACTCCAAACAGAAAACTTGGAGCTATCCAGCATTTCATTTCCTTTAATCTCCACATTCAATATATTCTCCAAATCCATCTTTTCTATGTTTAGAATATTTCTTGAATCTATTTTCTTTTCTGTTCCTACTTCCAAAGCCTTGGTTAGTCTCTATCATCTGTGGCTTGAATTTGCCATAACCCCGTAACTGGCCACCCGCTTCCAGTCTCTTCCTCTTTCATCCATCCTCCATCCAGCTTAAGTCTTTTTCGTTTTCCCCTTCTGTTTATAATCCTTCAAGTACTCCCTATTCCCCAGACTCTAAGGTTTAGAGAATCAAGTCCCAGACCCTAAGCATGGCATATGAAGTCCTTAACTACCTGATCACTGCTTCTCTCTCTGGCCAAGCATTCCTTTTCACTCTCCTCTGAGTCCTTAAAATTTTTGCTCAGTAATTCTGAACTACATGTTCTCACAACCGATCCTGCTTTTATATGCATCTGTTTGTTTTTACAGGCTGTTGACTCTGTTTTGAATATCCCTGACCACCTTGTATTCTTGTGAATCAAATGTCACGTTATCAAGGAAGTGTTCCCTTATCCCCTTGCACTCTACATCATCCTCTCCCAGACATAATATACTCACTTTCTACTCTGAACTATTTCTTCATCTTTGGTTTAGAACTGCATTTTTTGTATTGTATTTTCACGATGTACTTACATGTATGTCTCTCCTAATAAACAGAGTTCTTGAGAACTAGGTCTAGGCCTTAGGCACTTTAAACCCTGTTTATACTTAGTCTGGGGCCTGGCAGATAAATGCTAATGAAGTAGAGACTTATATACACATCTGACTTCCCAAGCAGACATTAAAGGTCTTGGTGTCACCTGGCCAGGCGTGGCTCAGTGGTTGAGCATCGACCTATGATCCAAGAGACCAAGGTTCAATTCCCAGTCAGGGCACATGCCTGGGTTGCAGGCTCAATCCCCAGTCAGGGGCGCACAGGAGGCAGCTGATCAATGACAACTCTCTCATCATGGGTGTTTCTCTCTATCTCTCTCCCTCTCCCTTCCTCTCTCTGAAATCAATAAAGATATGTTTTTTTTAAAAATAAAGTCGTCCGGCCGGGCGTGACTAAAAGGCTAAGCGTTGACCTAGGATCCAGGTGATCGGGGTTCAATTTCCAGTCAGGGCATATGCCCGGGTTGTGGGTTTGATCAATGACTCTCTCATCATTGATGTTTCTATCTCTCTCTCCCTCTCCTTTCCTCTCTCTGAAATCAATAAAGATATATTTTTTTAAAAAAGTCATGGTTTCATAATTTTATGTGTACTTAGTAACTCATGAGACGTGGACAATACAATTCTGTGGAAGTGTTTAAATACAAATTCTTACATTTAAAAAAAATGCAGATCTTCTTGAACACATATTTATCAGAGCAAATAATCTGTATTGTCCCATTGATACAGTAAGATCAGAAATGCCAAGTGACCAAATATACCCTCCTGCCTATTTAAAAATAAGTTATAATTATACATATCGCTATAGGTCCAGATACATTGGTTGAATAAAGCAACAGGCAGATGTTATCTGTTCTTTAAAGGGTTGGATCCTGGACTCGGCTGACCCAAACTTCACTAATGATCAAAAACTTTTCTTGCTAACGAATGAAAGGTTAAAAAAATCAAATTTAAACATTCTCCATCATTCACATGAAGCAGACTACTTGAAAGGGTATTATCCCCATTTTATACACAAGGAAACCAAAGACAGGACAAAGAATGTGTGATGAGACGGAAGTGCTCCGTACGTATTCCAAGTCTTAACTTACCTTCATTGGCTGAATATTTTACCAACAGGATTCGACTTGAACTTAAAACAATGAATATGGCCCCTAGCAAGAATGTATACATTGTTGACAAGGAGCATAAATTGGGATGACCACAGCACTTGCTTTCCATTCCAGTTTTCTAATAGCCTAAAAGACAAGAATAAGTCCATGAGCAACCCTGCCGGCAGATTAAGGATAATGCAAATGCCACTCATTTGTGAAGAACAGAAATTTTCCCCAGCCACCCTGCTGGCTGTGTCTATGATCAAAACGAAGAAAGTTGAGGAACACAAGAGAAACTAAGGAGAAAGGAGAGAGTAAAAATGTGATAGGAAGGGTAACTCTAGAGACAGAAAAGGCAAGGACCGGATTAGAAGTGCTGCCAGAGGCAGCAAGCGGGTTAACTGACACTTTGGGATTGCAAGATTTTGCAGAAAAGCAATTCTTTAACTTTCATTTTTATCAGCGACTTTGCTCTAGAAGACGAGAATTTTAGATTTGCTTTTCTCTCTTCCGTTGCAGTTCTTCCCTAGGAGGAAAAAGAGCTTGCTTGGGAAGGTTTCGTTACACAGCTGCTAACATACTGAACTAGTGTTGGGAGGAGGACAGAACTTAGAAATCAATGACTCTAAAGCCCTCCTTTGATCGGCTGAGGACTAAACTCCAGGCGGGTCAGGTACTTGTCCAAAGCCTCCCAGTGCAGGGAGCGCGCACAGGCCGGGGGGCTAGGTGCGAGGCGGGTATGAAACCCCCAGAGCGACAGCTCGCTTGGGCTCAAAACATAGGGCCAGCGAGACGCTCCCCGGAGGAGGACACATCTCCCTCCGCTGCCAGGGGACGCCTCCGGCACACCTGCGCAGTAGGGCTTTCCTCCGCCGCGCCCACCCTCATACGCACGCGCACTTCTCGGCCCGTCCGGCGCGGTTACCTCAGTTCCTCCCTCGAAGAGCTTCTAGTGGAAGAGCTCACATCCTAGAGCTGAAATCAGTAACCGACTAGCTCCGAAAAAGCAGCGTTTAAGGTCCATACGCCGGGAAGCTATGGGAGGGAAAGAAAGGCGAAAACGCCTCTGCCCCCGAACCTCCTACTACGATCCAAAAAGCACAATAAAGACCAGATGGGGAGCGGACCCGGCACCCATTGCGCAGGCGCGCTCAGTGTTACGCTTCCGGAGGGCGGGGAGAAGCGACCTGATTCCGCCCCAGCGCGGCCTTTCTCGCGTCACGTGTCCGGAGAGTCCTGCGTCACGTGAGGCCCAGGTGGCGGCCGAGCTACGGCGAGAGAGAGTGAGAAGGAAGGGGAAGCCGGAAGGGGCGCGCGCGAAGCAAAGGGAAGGCAGTTCCTGAGGGCAGGGGTGCGCGTGCGCCCGCGCTTCCCCCGAACACACCCCTGGGCCCTGCAGCCCTCCCTCGCGGCCAGGTGAC